TTATCAGCTGCTCCAGTCGCTGGTTGTTGGTGTTGAGTTGACAGACGGCATCGATCTGACGTCTCTCCACCTCCTCTTTGGCAGAGAGTTGCTTCCTCAGACGCTCTAGTTCTCTTGACTGCTCTTCTAACTTGTCTCTGAAAAAAAAAGAGGAGGAAAGACATCAGTCGATCTGTCTGAATGGAAAAAGACGATAAAATAAAAGGCTTTACACTGCAAGAAAGATACCTAATGCATTTCAATTACATCTTCACCAAAAATACATAAAACCATCAAATTGCACTAATTATCTGGGATGCGCTATAGTGTTACTCATTTGCATTCATATAATTTTCTACAACTGTCCGAATGTTCCATTTGGTTGGCACTGTCAATAATCAACATTATCATTCCATAAACATTTCATGAAATCCTTTTTGTTAACAATAATTTCTTTGTTATACATACATATACATATTCATATGAGTAACCCTATCTATCTATCTATCTATCATATATCTATATCTACCAATCTATCTGTCTATACATTATATATCTATACCTATCTACCTACCTACCTATCTATATCTTCTACATCTATATCTATCTATCTATCTATATGTGTTATACTCATAAAAACATGAAATCCCATAGAGGACCCAATACCCCAACCCATCCTAAAAAAAAAAAAAAAACAACCACAATAACGACAACTCACTTCTGAGTCTTGATGGTCGTCTCGCTCTCCTTCTCCTTGGCCCTGAGCTTCTTGATGATGTTGGAGTAGTTGAGCTGTTGCTTGCTGAGTTTCTCGCCTTCCTCGCGCAGTTCCTGGATGACAGTGTCCCTCTCCTCGCGTTCCCGGGCCACTTCTGAGGAGCTGAGTCGTGTTGCTGCCTCTGCTCGGACCTCCTGGAGACGCGATTCAACGAAGGATGAACAGGGGAAAAAGAGGATGAGAATGTTTCATGTCATGTGTGAAAATCGTATTATTTTTTTTTCTCTCTCTCTAACTGCTTAAAAATAGGAACAAAAATTTTGAGGAAATACTAACAAAGATAATAACAATAATGCTGACTATAAAAAACACCTGCAACAATAACAACAATAAAAAAGATCAGAATTACAACATGCATCATGATCATTTAAAAGTTTAACCATTTCTTCACCCAATAACACTGGGTAACAAATTTGGCAAGTGGACATGCTCTCATGTTTATTGGCACGCATCTACAGTTTAGCCTGTTTGCACCCTGCTCATTCAGCAGTTTGGGTGCAACATTAGGCATCTGAAAACTTGTATTTTGTTGAAATTTTTAAGAATATTATTTTTTTGAAGATTTACCTTTACTTTAAGTGCTACTACCTAAAAGTTTTACCATAGAAATGATGCCACTACTTTTGGAGAAAAATAAGCTCCGTCTGATGAGCCAATGGCATGGGAAGAATTGTGTTTGGTGCCACCCGCTACAGCCATGGCATGTACGTAAATGCCAGGAAGTGGTTAACAAACTTCAAACAACAACCAGCACATCAACTGATTGATCTACAGCTCACTCTTACCTCAAGCTGTTTCTTGATGGCCTCCTTTTCTCGCAGTGCCTGTTGGAACTTCCTCTCCATGGTGACCAAGCGCTGTGTGTACTCCTCTCGCAGGGACTCAGTTGCGTCTGTGCCTCCTCCTCCTTCCAGTTCCTCGATGTTACTAAACATAAATAGAGTGTGAGAAAAAAAAAGGGAAATATTGTGGTGTATCTGATTTCATAAGTACTACACACACAAACAAACAAACAAACAAACACACACACACGCACATACACATTTGCTTACGTTTTTAAGCGTAAATTTGTATCTTGTAATGCCGCATTGACTTGACTCAACTCCATCAATTTTGTCTCTCGAGCTTCCAGTATCTCGGATAACTGCGAGATTTTCTGAAAAACAAAAAATACTGATATCAAAGTAGCAGTCTGGCAAATATAAGACGGTAGTTAATCTTTTTTCCTTATAAAATCTCCTCAACAAAGGTAACTAAGAGAGAGAGAAATATCGTAGGGTACTAACCTTGAGGAGTTTTTCAACCTCCGGGGAATGTGGCTCTGAGGAACTCTCGCTTGTTTCTGAGAGATTTGACTGGTTACGACGATGGCCTGAAAGCAACGCGCCTTTCTGGTTACATGTGCAGTGAAGGTTAAACAAGGCTTTCAAAAAACGAAAGATGTGAATGTCTAACCACGAATTTGGAAAAACAAATAAATGTATGTGTGTTTGCCAGTGTGTATGCCATTATGAACCCAAATTCGTATACTCTATCTATATCTATCACTCTATATCTATATACATCTAAATAAACCAGGAAAAAATTGATCCTTCTGAAGATAAAGACGTAAATCAAATAAAAACTGGACTCACATGTATCATACTATCTGAACATGATGGAGTTAAGAAATGAGTCAAGAGGCGAGTCAAGGGACACGTTGAAGACATGATAAATACCACAAGAGAGAGGAATGAAAGGCTTGTGGATTCTATGCAGTATATAGAAGAAAAGAAGACAAAAAAAAAAAAAAAAAAAAAAAAAAAAATAATGAGGAAGCTAAGAGCATGGTTAGGCTAATGCATATAATTATGAACCATTAATCCAGCAGACACTGCATTTACATGTTTACACTTTTCACCACAGGTCAAACACAGACAGAAAGCAAAAAATGGGGGATAGAAAAAAAAAAAAAAAAAATCTTGAAGATGCGGTGCTTTGAAGATAGAGAACTGAACAGAAAAAAGTGAAGTTACAGTCTTCCTTTGTTAGTATCTGCCTGAACAAGCCATTCACAGAAATGTACCAGATTTAACCTTTGATCTGTCTCCTTAAAATTTCTTTGTATTAGGAACTTCTTTAAAGCTTTGATCAATCTGAGTAAGAATCAGATGCTACTTACGATATCCGAAAACATAATAAGAACAAGTATACAAAGACGAGGAATTTACGCATTCTGATAAATACAAATTACTTGTAGAAGTAAACAGAGCACATAAGGAGTGAGATATGAAGTCGCACCAAGGGCCAAATTAGGATAGAGACATTCTACACGCGTCTTTGTTGTGGCATGGAGCTGACAACTGATGACAGGTTGACGCAACAGCGATTATAATTATAGGACACCTGACAAACTGGTTGGCTATATATATAATCATTTGAAATAGAAGGTTATTCAGGTGTGTTACCTATTGGCAATCATCACCAAATTTCTGTGTATCTTCAATGTGATGTTAATAATGATGATGACTGATGGTGATGATAATGATGAAGATTATGATGGTGATAATGGTGATGACTGATGATGGTAGTGGTGATGATGGTATTATGACTGGAAAAAAAAAGGAGAGAGAAAGGAAAAGAGTATATGACAAGTAAATTATGTGTTTTTGTCTCTGTGCACCAAATGGAAAAGGAAGTAAAAAAAGTTTTTATTCAAGAAGAAAAAAGTTTTTATTCAAGAAGAAAACTCTTTTGTTTTTTACTGACTGCAGAAAGTCCTGACCATCTGAAATATGGGAGCGTTCCATATCTATTAATGTTTTTGAAGAAATTAAGAAGTTCTGTATCTTCGCTAAATCACTCACAATACAAAGAAAGGTTTACTATAAGTCTTTCAATTTTACTACATCGTATTCACAATCCTCTCTTTCTAACTAAATATCAAAGGAAATAACATGGAACAAAAATTTCACAACGTTCAAAATACAGCTTTACATCAGTCCTTTGGGAGAACGAAGAACTCATGCAGCTACACGTCACAGTAAAGAGGAAAAAGCTAAACCCCATGAATAATTGCGTCATCCTGCTACACCACAAAAAACACGAGCATGGACTGTAAAACAAGACACTTAACATCGAACATTTCTTTACCCACTTGAGAATAAAGCAAATACAATGTGCAAATAAAGAAAACAGGGAAGGGGGGGGGGGTCGGGTCTTTTAATAGCAAACACAATCCTTTTTTCTTCTTAAAGGAACAACATAAAACAAAAACAAAACAAGGCATACAACTCATGATAGTGTCAAAGGATAGCTTCTAGAGGTCCGTCACCAATCACAAAAGAGCATGCACCCCCACACAAAATGCAACTTTACGGGAATAATTACCGTTCGTATTCACCAAAAACTATTTCCATATTACTTCTTGGTTCAAGGTACAAAATTAAAGAGCTCTTGGGTTTAGTCTTAATTCATTAGATAATTTTTTGAGGAAGAACTACGGGCGTCTTTCAAACTAAGAGGCACTACAAGTTACACCGAGAGATCACAACACCCCAGAAGGTGAAACCAGTGCCCCAACCTTCGAAAAGAGATGCAAACTGATGGCAAGAGTTGCAAATTTTGTCACTACAGGGAGAATAACAAAAAAAATATATATAAAAACAGGAGAAGAAGAAAGAAAGAAAAAAACAAAAACAAAATCCCTCTCCCTCCACCTTTGGCCTCGCAAAGCTTTCAGCTACCTTTCTCAAAGTGCTGCAAGTCGTGGAGCACCTGAGAGATGCGCGAATGATCGAGACTATTGAGGTCGCCCAGGACCAGAGGGGTATAGGGCTCTCCTTCGGATTCGCTGATGCTGGTGAAGCTAGTGGTCATGGATGAAGGGACCGTCTCCGCTTGACAAAGGAGAATGGTGTGTATTAACGTGAGATTCAGGTCTTGAGGGGTGACGTGGCTTAAACTCTAGAAACACACTCTTCCACACATATTCAGAATGAAAATAAACATACAAATAAAAATAAAAGGAGAGGAAGAACAAAAAAAGCAAAACTATAAGTGTTTTAAAAACTTAAAATATGTTCTTGGTCTCAATGGATAACACAATACATTGCATTACTAAATCAGTGAACAACAATCTAACTACTGATACAAAAATCAAAATGAAAAATGGAAAAAAGAGAGATAAGTTCTCTTATTTTCTATTTTGGTTTGGACTGGGATATTCCATGATGCATTGTGTGTTCCTTCTCTAATCAAAACAAAAATTTAGGGGTCCTGCAAATGAACGGAAGCTGCTTAGACTGGTCGGTGGTACAATACCTCTGAACCGTGTTAATGGAACAAGTTTCGTGTTTACTCTGGAACTTGTAACAGGAGGTCTGGGGCTGGCTGTAGTAAACATTAGTACAGTCTAAATGGGACAGAAGTTAGGTTCAATTTTTATTTCATTTCATCAATCACACATTACAATGAACGTAGCAAGACAAATGGACTAGTTCATTTTAAATTTTACAAAACCATTTTTCATGAGTACTGATAAAAGGCTTTAACTTCTTCTCTTATATTGCTATACAATGCCAATGAATATCCTAATACATTTTCTGAACTTAACTTGACATGATAAAAGGTTCATATACTGAAAAAGCCGATAAACAAACATGATCCGTTAGCTTAAGTATCGTTATTGATAAATCTGCCGTCTCCTGAGTCCCGCTGGGATAAAAGCATTACGGGTTAAGGAACAAATCAAACTGCGGCTATCTATGCTCATGCACAAATGGCATATTTAACGTCGCTATGAGATGGTGATCCGATGTTAGGTGACAAAAAACGATGACAATTACCTTTCTCTGTGTTGTTCTTCTTGTTGTTGGAAGAAGAATCTGATGCAGGTGATTCAGATCTGTCGTTGAGGAAACTTCGGAGTCCTCTTTGTGCGGACGCCCAAACTCTTGATGCTGCTGCCGATCCTCGTGCGACCGTGCTTCCATCCAAGCTTGGGCTGGAACCACAGAAACAGAGCATTATGTTTTTATCTTAATATAATGTGTAATCTTCCTCACCTACCAACTAAATCAACTGATGCAATCTATTGACACATTCCATTATGAAGTTGCCTTTTCCCCCTATTTCTTGAATTTTTAGAAAGAAATGTTTTATCATTATTACAATTATCATTGAGAGAGAGAGAGAGAGAGAGAGAGAGAGAGAGAGAGAGAGAGAGAGAGAGAGAGAGAGAGAGAGAGAGAGAGAGAGAGAGAGAGAGAGAGAGAGAGAGAGAGAGAGAGAGAGAGAGAGAGAGAGAGAAAATCTCTCATAAGTCCAAATTTAACTATCAGACTACTCTCAAACAAGAATAGACAATAGAACTGAAATAATAAGGAACCGATACTCACCTGGAAATAACTTCAATATCAGACGATGTCGTGGTTTCAATCTCATCGCCTGAGCTGTGTCCTGATGTGTGGCCCGATCCGACTTTCAGTGCCTCAGACCTGTCATTTCAAAGGATAAATAGTGAAATGAAGATGAAATCCTACTCCTTTGCAAATTAATCTGAAAACATATTGTTCTCAAATGCTCAGACTGCTGTTTGTAAGGCAAGGAATATCAAACTGCTATAGGTATATCAAATAATGTATTTCACGTCACAAAATTGACATCTTTTGTTTAATATTTTATCTCTCTCTCTCTCTCTCTTTCTTTCCCTCTCTCATCTTTCTCTTCCACCTATTTCTCTCTCTCCTCCCTTCTCCTCCCTACATCTTTCTCTCTGTCTTTCTCACCCCCTTCCTTCCTTTTTTTCTCTCTCTTCCCTCCTTTCCTCCTTCCTTCCTACTCCCTTTCTTTCTTTCCTCCCTCTCTTTTGATCTCTCTCACTCTCATCCTCTCTTTTTGTTCATTTTCTTCACACTCCCATCTTTCCATTTCTCTCTCACATTCCCTTCCCTTTTTCTTATCTCCCAGTCTTCTTCCCCCTTTTCCCTTTACCTCCCCCCTCTCCCTCCTTTCCCTTCTTATTCTCCCACTCAATTTCAGTCTCACCACCTTATTTTTCATTTCTCTCCCTCTGTCTTCTCCATCTCTTGCCCTCATTCTCCCTCCCTCTTCTCTTACTCACTCTTACTTTCTCTCTCTCTCTCTCTCTCTTCCTCCATCTCTTCATCTATCTCCCTCTCCTTGCCATCTACTTGCATTCTCCCTCTCCCTCTCCCTCTCCCACTCCCTTCTACTCCCTCACCTTTCAGAGGATGATGGAGAATGCTCCCTCTCCGGGGGGGATGATGCACCGCTAGTGGCTTCTTCGTCCCCCATGGCTTCCTCAAGGAGACACCTCACGACTGATCCACCTGAGCCCGTCATTCCACTATCTTGTATTACACTGCTCTCTATTTGTTCTTGTTCGCTTCCACTGATATGGGATCTACTGGACCTATTAAAAAGAAATGAAAGAAATGAAAGGGAAAGAAAGAAAAATTGAATACAGTCCATGAAGTAGACTAGAGTGGATGGGATTATGGTTCAAGGGAGATGATGATAAACTGAGAGTGATAAATTAATATTAGGAAATCAAAGGTAAATGACATACCATAACATCTGCGTTGAATCCACAGAGGCTGTGATGGTATCGGAACTGCCCCCACTTTCCACGGACATGTCAAGAGATGCCCCTCCAATATTTCCTTCCATTCCTTCTGCAACGACATCTGCAGTACTGACAGCCCCAGATGTTGCAGCGACAACCCCCTTCCTTTCTTCAGCTGATGCCTCACTGTCACACTTGGTGGTTTCATCAGCAGCAATGTTTCCATCAAGCACTGCAGACAGGTTTCCTCCTTCAGGTGGTGCTGATTCCCCTGACTCTGAGGGTACTTGAGCATCATGGGCAATCAAGCTGGCATCAAGAACTGTGTGGGTGCTGGAGGTGGATGTGCTGTGGATGCTCTCACTGGCAGACGTGTCCTCAGTCAGACTACTGCTGGCTCGGGAATTACTGTCTGCCTCCCTGATGCCAGGACTGCTCTCTGCCAGCACTTTTGGACTCGCTGCCTCTTTCGAGGAACAGACAGGTTCCTCCGTCTCTCTGTGGGTGGGCTGCTTCACCACAGCCTGTCCCTGACTAGTAGTGGACTCTTCCGCACTCCCCTTAGACTCCCACTCCTTTCTATCTATGGAAGACTTATCAGTTCCTCTGATTTCCTGCTGGACTTTTTCCTGAATCAAGGCAGAGCTGAGTGCAGGGGCCTCTACGGCGTGTTTATTCGATGTCTGTAGCGTCGGCTGTGTGCTGACAATGTGACTGGGAGTCGGACTTAGGTCTTGGGTTAGGGTATTGCTACATGAATCTTGATGTGTGGGAGATGAGTCGCTAGATGATACACCACTTAAAACCTGAGAGATGGAGGAGAAATTCTGTGAGAAAAAACATGTTTCTAGATATTGATTTCTTAAAAAAAAAAAAAAAAAAAGGTATAAAAAAGACTATCTAGATCTAGACTATGTTAAATTCTATATATATAGGCAAGAATGATGAATACAGAGAAGGTGGAGAAGGATAAAAAAGAGAAAGAGGAAGAGGAAGAGAAAGAAGAAGACGAAGTAGAAGAGAAAAAAGAGCAATGATAGGTGGAAGGAAGAAGAGGAGACAAAGAATCAAGAAGATAAAAGAAGATAATAGACAAGAAAGAAGAAAAAGATGAAGATTGATGGAGTACTTACCTCTATAGAAGAAGGTGACGTGACCAGACTAGATGATCCAAGAACTTCTATTGACTCGGGGGAGCTAATAGGGCTGGTGATTTTCTCGGGATGCAGGCTTACCGTCAGCTTCGATCTGTCGGTACTACCTGTGCTGAGTCTCGAAGAATCGCCCTCTGGTGAGCTACCATCTGACGTAAGTACCACTATACTGTCTGGTGTGTCGACTTCGGAATTACCACGCGACATTGACGCCTTCTGATCACAGTTTTCTGGCCTTATGATATGACTCAAACTACTCCTTCTAGGAGCTTCGGAACATTCACTCCCTTGGTCACAGCCTCTCTCTAGTCCGCTGCTTCTGTGGCTCTCCGTGCTGCCATCAAACACGTCTTCCGATATAGAGGATGGAACGTCCAGGTCGACAGATCTCCCGCACAGAGACCCCTGACTTTCCTGGCGCATCAAGCCTCCGCTGTCGCTGTCTACGCTGCCCACGACCAAGCGGCTCCTGGCAAAACCCTCTACATCTATGGAGTCATCGGCCAAACTGTCCTCTCTGGCTTCCAGCTCAGCCTGGGATGTGCCAAATTCCCCTGAAATAGAGATCGAACTTATCAGACTTAGCACACAGTGTAAAAATGCTGTTATTAATTCATTTTTGGGATAAAAGTTTATTTTCAAGTTTATGTGATGTGAGCATGTTCGACTGTACTTATGGAGTAATAATATAATACACTTGCACAAAATAAATGCAATTTAAAAAAGCTAATCATATAACCAACTTCCTCATTAACTGTATTAATTAAATTAAATTAAATGAGATTAACTAACTGCCCTGACTCTTCGTGATCTAGTTTTAGCACCGCTCTTGCCATCAAACAGAACGTAAAATCTGATAAACAAAATGAATATTTCTTTTCACCTTTACAGAAACAAATGATCTGTAAACTATAGATATTATTCATGAAGACTCTCAAACTATCTAAAATCAGGCCTTTATGTAAGATTCTAAAAAGAAAGAAAGAGGGGAAAAAAAAAAAAAAAAAAATGTGGAATCAAGAACAACAACACCACAACATGCTTTGAATTCTGTCTCAGCCAGCCAAAAAATACAACCCTTTTTGTATAGGCTGCAACAAATCTTAGGCTTCATTCAAGACACACAAATTCCACCCTAGACTGTACCTTCCAACTGCTGCTGTTCACCGGACATCACCATTATACTACTTTCCCAGCCCCATCCCCACTCCTGCCTGCTGCCCTCTCCATCGTCCGTTGACTTCTGTTCGTCGCTGTCTCCGACTTCACTCTGCTTTGGGGAGAGAAAGGGACTTTGAGCTCACTGCAGTAGATGAATTTAAAAAAATAATAATAATTAGAATTACATACACAGCACACCACACACACATACACACAACACACCACACACACACACACACACACACACACACACACACACACACACACACACACGCATCAGAAGAAATAAGGAAAACATACAAAAATAAATCGAAGAATTCAATCAAACAATCAATCACTTGATTCACTCTGTATTGGGAGAAGGCTGTTCCAATCAATTCACTGATTTAAAACATTTACAATAAATAATATGGAAAGCTGTTTTATATTCTTGATTTGTATGTCTTAATTTAATAACCACTTATGCCAAACTAATTCACCACAATATAACACCTTAAGAAATCATTTCTACGTAACTTTCCTACATAAAGCTCTTAATGTATGACTTAGATTTTCGAGGACAAAATGAACCAGGGTACATTGTGACAAGGAGAAAAGCAATGAATTAAAATAAATATCCCTAAGTAACCATTTTTCAAAAAGAATTTAGCATGACAAATAGAACATATAGGCACGAAACTTTGAAATCTCACAATGCATTAGGTTCTAATGACGTAACCAAGAAATGCGTCATAAACCAACCTGAGCTCCTCTCTGCTCTTCGAGGCTAGAAGTCCGAGGCTGAGTTGACACGGGACTCTTTGCTAACTTCAGTGATGGTAAACTGGTACTACTGCGAGGAGGCTGGGTGGCAACGACATCTTTTTCCGATGTGCTTCCTGGGATGTCTGTGGGGGCGACAGATACTAATTAGAAGAAAATTGGCTGTTTGGTAACTGGACTTCCGCGTCGGTTATCTTCGTACCTCTGTAAAAATTAAAGATGTGCATATTTTAACCTTTACTTACTGGTCAAAACAAGAAAAAATGAGAGAGAGAAAAAAAAAGGGAAAAAAATTAACAACTGGATTTCCCTAATTGATGATGGTAAATGGAATGCACATTATACATACTTTCTACAGATCTAATTTTTTCTCCTCTTCAATCTAATGTAAAGTAAACGTTTCAGCAATACAAAATGCTACGTCAACTTTCCATACTCACCCTCTGATTGCTGTTTACCAATAAGCGTATTTTCAAAGAAGGAACCAGTGAATGACCCCCAAAGACTCCCAACCATGGCAGATGAAGTTTTGCGCCCATCTGTAAAAAAGAGGACGCGGTACGTGCAGTCACTCTACAAATCACGGGTGATTGACGACACAAAGCAAACCTCATCCACGCCGAGCAAAAACAAACTGCAAATCCCCCGAAACTTTACCTGATACCTGAGCATTCAGATTAGAAAACACACAGGGTCTCCTTAAAATTTCCAAGAAACACATTTACAGAGATATCCATTCTTGTGGTCATGTGCAGCCATAGCCAAACAATGTCGGTCTGATATGGGTTCGGAATTTGTATATGAACGGAGGCCAAGAGGCAGGGGAGCCAAGACACCAAGAGGAAGAAGAAAAGGAAGAAGCCAAAGTATTGTCTTTAATACATCATTTGAATGTGCTGACGTCTTTGAGAAAATACATGAAACTTAGCAACAACTTGTAAAAAATATGGTAAGACATTGGTATAATGATGGTCATGTACAAACGTTCAGCTCCACTGAACACGACATATCTGATAAAAAATCTAATATGGCCTTTTGGGGGGGGGGGGGGTTCTACACAAAATTTGAATGGATATAATCAATCTATATTGACTATAGGATATCAAACTTTTCTTTGTCATATTCAACACCCTTTCAGTGTCTATCTTGACAAACGTAATTTCTACAGCTACTTCCTAAAGCAGTTATACAAAGCCTTTGCAAACGGAAAAAGAAAAAAATTCCATAAAAATAACAAACTCAAGGCTTATTCATAATATTTTCTGGCTTTCTATGGTTATAAGTTTGTACTTCTCTTATTTGTCAAAACTACAAAACAAATGATGGTTCCACTAGAGGAGGAGGAGGAGGAGGAGGAGGAGGAGGAGGAGGAGGAGGAGGAGGAGGAGGAGGAGGAGCAGGATGGGGACAGGAGAGAGAGGAAGAGGAAAAGGAAGAGAAGGAGGAAAGCAAATGCATAAGTAGAGGATAAGCTAGCAAAAGGAGGCAGAGGAGGAGAAAGAGGAAGAAGAACAAAAAGAAGAGGAGGAGAAGCAGGAAGAAGAGGAGAAAAAAGGAGAAGGAGGATGATAGGAGATTAGCAAGAGAAAGAAGAGAAGGAAGATGAAGATGAGGATCAGCATGAGGAGGAGGAGGAAGAGACAAAATAAAATTGAAGTACACAGGGTATATAATACTATAAACATATGATGGATTCTTGCATCACTGTATATAGTGACCTTGGTATTACTTGAATACCAAAATATGGCAGAAAACGGGAAATATCTTGGAATGAAACAAAATCAAGGGTAATGGCAAAGGTGGAGACGAAAAGGAAAGAAAATGTATAGGCTACGGAAAAAACGCAAAAGGATGAGAATACAGAGCAAGGAAAATATGCAAAGAAAGTAAAAGAATATAGAGCCTGGAAAACAAAATTAAGAAAAAAGGGAAAAGATACACAAAATCCAGTAACCCAAAAGTGGCAAAACATCGAAACACAAGTGCGATTAAACGGAACGAATGCACGCGAAAAGAGGAGGTTACACACGCTGCCAGGTCCTCGCGTTACTCACCCTCGCTTACTGTGGTGGGTGACTCTTGAGTTTCCAAGCCATCAAATTCTACTGGGGGAAAAATATGCTCAAGACTGGCTCAAGACTGCATAGCAGGAGATGAGTTTGTGATCGTGTGTGTGTGTGATTTTCGTGTGATTGTGTGATTGTGATTGTGATGTGTGTGTGTGTGTGTGTGTGTGTGTGTGTGTGTGTGTGTGTGTGTGTGTGTGTGTGTGTGTGTGTGTGTGTGTGGTGTGTGTGTGTGTGATTTTGTGATTTGTGTGTGTGTGTGTGTGTGATTGTGTGATTGTGTGTTGTGTGTGTGTGTGATTTTCGTGTGATTGTATGTATGTGTGGGTGTGTGTGTTTGTGTGTGTGTGTATGTGTGTGTGTGTGTGTGTGTGTGTGTGTGTGTGTGTGTGTGTGTGTGTGTGTGTGTGTGTGTGTGTGTGTGTGTGTGTGTGTGTGTGTGTGTGTGTATGTATGTATGTGTGTGTGTGTGTGTTGTGTGTGTGTGTTGTGTGTGTGTGTTGTGTGTGTGTGTGTGTGTGTGTGTGTGTGTGTGTGTGTGTGTTGTGTGTGTGTGTAAGTGTAAGAATTTGTTAAGACAATGTACGAAACATCCCCCTGAATATCACCTTTGATGTGTGCGTTTTAGAATCTCTGTATTGGAACTGTATGGGAAAAGCGTAAGAGAGAAAGACACTGCTTTTCCCCAACACTTTCCACGCCAAGTGAATTATTTATTACATAGGATACAGAAGTCGAAGAAGAAGAAGAAGAAAAGAAGAAAGAAAAAAATGGAATGCACAGCTGACAAAGTGTTTCAACCTTTCTTTTTACAACTTGTATTATCAACCAGTATCATAAGCTTTATGTCTGTATTGCAATGTTATCCTATAATAATACTATTATCAATTTTCAAACACAATCGATAGTTAAATTTTTATCTAACATCTGTCTTCCATCTACCAATTCTTCCAGAATAACAATAATAATAAAGAAAAAGGACCTTACTTCCTTTAAACATTACAAATAGAACCTGAATAAAATATTAGTAGTTTAATGGAATAACGAACAATGACTGTCGAGTGATATTCGAGTCCTTCCATCTGAATGTAATGGTGTAGCATTGGTAGAGGCAAGCAAAATAATATATTGTGGTTCAGCCTTACCATTTCTCTCTATCAATATTTCTCACATCAAGCTTGAAAAAGCTGTAGGTGAACTTGGATATCGCGCAGGAACATTTTCAAGCTTAATGTAGATGTGTGGTAGGCTATTTTTCTTAGATCGGTATGCTCAATTGTGGCTCTAAATTGGGTAGAAGCGTGATAGCTATTCAATGATATCGACAGTTTATTATTATGAGCTATCTTGTGTAAGTATATGATGACAGTTATAGGTCTCACTTTGAGCGTATTATTCCATGAGTGGAGGTTATAAAACACTTATTTGTGAACGTGCATGTTCTTGGGACGAATTTTCCACAATTGATCCGTCAGGTCAATTTAATTTGCCTTGTCTTTCTTAATTTTATTTGCTCATTTCCAGGTCCTCTCATATATGCTCAAAATAGTCTCTTAATGTTAACTCCTTCTTGCATATTGTGCGTAAAACAATATTGCAGTACGTTGATTACTGTTTCATGAAGTGCTCTTTGAGCGTCATTACGTATGCTGGAGCTTATCCTTACCGTACATTATATAACATCCCTGCCAGTAACTGTCAACCTTTTTGCACAGTGCGCCAAACGTTTCTGAACCTACCAGTATTACTCAACCCTAATATACATCACACGCGATAAACATAATGACAGCAAAATAACAATAACAACAATAATTATGATTTATGCAATTATAATAACATAATCAATAATAATACTCATAGTTACATTTATAATATATAATCCACACGTTTAATTACAAATATGAGGAGGCGCAAATAAGTTATGGGAGTGAGTATGACACCACAAGTGGTGCAATGGCACGACGAGAGGAATGCAAACGTAGTAGCAGAGAGTAGAGTGATGGATGTACGTACGAAGAAGTGCTATGCTATGGAGCCTAAAGTTATGTCTGTGACGGATGGTTGAACTCCGGTAGGTGATTGAATGTAGAGAGGGAGAGAGAGGCAGGTCTTAGGATCATAGGGTCACAATTTATGATCTAGCCTGGTTTGTTTGACATAAATAGGCAGATTTAGTTGTGGATAGTGGATTTAAGGCTGCATCGGAAGGAGGTTTAGAGCTGATCGGAGAGGAGCGTAAGAGGAAGGAGGAGGAACGATGAAGGAGTAGGCTAAGGCGGGAGGACTGCGCTCATAGAAGGAGGTCACTGGGATCACGGGTCATAGCTGTCAGGAGGGGAGAAGGAGCGGAAAGGAGGTCGAAGGAGGGAGGATGGGGATGCGAGCGAGTCTCTTTATTTTCTCTTGCCTAATATCTTCTCTATTCATCTGCCCCTTCTCCCTTTTTTTCTCCTCTTCTTCCTGCTTCTCTCCTTCTCTCTTCTCTTTTTGTTTCTTTCTTCTTCTTTTTCTCCTCTTCTCTTTCTCTCCCTACCTCCTCGGAGGTCAGGAGGAGGAGGAGTGAGGACGAAAGCGCTCTGCCGGAGAACGGCATGTATATGGGCACTAGCTTTTTCAATCACGGTATTGGGTGTTATGGCGATTTTGCTATGTGCCAAGATAACGGCTTTTTAGAGTAAAGAGATTCAGGGCCACCTCGGAGGAGGAGAATGGGGAAGTGCTCAGCATTTTTTCGGCACGGAGGAGTGCAGTATGAGGAGGGTGGAAAGCAGTGAGGAGGAGGGGCCTGCTGCTGGGGGGGGAGATGCTAGGCATGTCATCGCCGAGGAGGAGTAAGGAAGGAGAGGAGACGGAGTAGGAGGGAAGGACTGCTAGGACGGCTATGAAGGAGTAGGAGGGGGAGAGTAGGAGACGCGGGTAGCGATGCGAGCAATCACGATGAGGATCAGCGCCACGGAAGCCTCGCCAGGCTGGCGTAGCACTAGCGAGGGGGAGGAGGCAGGAGGACCGGAGGCAGGCAGAAGCGAGGAGAAGGAGGGGAGATCCATGGGGAAGTGCAGAGTGAGCCGTTAACAGAGGAGCTGCAAAGCTAGGACGTCAGGAGTGCGCTCCAGGATCGGAGTGAGGAGGACACCGAAATGAGCAGGTGTGATGGAATGTTTGAGAGTAGTGGAGGGGGAGGAGGAGGAGGAGGAGGAGGAAGGAGGAGAGGAGGAGGGTGGCGGCGGGGGAGGGGGAAGAGGAGGAGAAGGAGGAGGAGAGAGAATGGGGAGGCAGAGGAGGAAGAGGTAGGCGACGGTGAGTGTTAGGAAGGAGTTCAGGAGGAGGAGCGTGCTGAGGTAAGGGAGGAGGCAGAAGGAGTCTAGGAGGGAGGGGAATGAGGGGACGAGGAGGCAAGAGGAGTAGGAGGTAAGGAGGGCAGGAGGAGGAAGGACAGGGCGGGGGAGGGAGGCAGGACAGGGCAGGGAGGAGGAGATGAGAAAAAGTAGCAACAGAGGATAGATAGAAGAGATAGTGAGGAAGGGAAATAAAATAAAAAAAAAAAAAAAAAAACAGCGTCTTGGGTAAAGGAAATAAGAGATAAGATTATGGCAGATGCGGCGCAAATAGCGCAGAGAGGACACAAGCAAGCCTGCCAAAACCCGAAAGGAAGAGGCGCATACATCTGTACCCCAGGCCTACCTTGCAACAGGCGTTGTTCCGGCTGACGAGTCTACAGCGAGTTGGCGGCGTGAGGTGTGGATTTTCTGTTTCCACCCGAAGTGAGGAGACAGCGAAGGAGTTTCGTCCGATTGCTTCCTTGAGTCTTCTCTTGATAATCCTTGAAATATTTAACAAATGCATGTTGTCGGAGGAATCGTCTGGAAGATCGAAGTCAACAGATCATAAATATTGCAATGGGTGTATCTTTTGGGGCGAGAGGAGGTGTCTCATCTTAGGCTGGGCATGTAATCGTAGTTATGTTGTTGAACACATGGTTCGTGCAGTGTTAGTTTTATCTGTCGTCTTTCTCTCTTATCTGCTTCCGGTTCATTTCCCCCGGGGACGCTCCGGAGTTACCCCGCTCTTTATTCTATATTGTCCTCCGTCCGAATGGCATCATCGTCGTTCCTCCCGTCTGTTCGGTCTCTTCGGCTTGGCTGTTGGGTTTTGTGCGGGGTCGGTTGGTTTGACTCTTGTTTGGCTCCCCGTGGTTCCTTCCCCGTTGGTGTGTTTTGTGTCTTTTTTTGGGTGTTATCGGTTTATTTCTTTCTTTTCCTTGATACGCTGTATCCATTTTGTCCTCGAAAAATCTTAAGATATGCATACATTAAGCCAGCTTTATGTAGAAAGTTACTCAGTAGAATGTATTTCTTAAGGTGTCTTATATTATGGTGCATTAAGTTATTGGCAATAAGTGGATGATAATTTCTGAAATTAGCAGTAGAACAATAACAAACTCAAGGGACTAGAATGATACACGCTGTATAGCTCATAATTATTCTATTGTGTATGATTGTTCTTTAAAATCAGTGGAATTGATTGGTGAGTACAGCCTCTTTCTTCCATAAGTATCAGTGCAGAGTGAAACTCAAACGGCTCTTATGTCATTGAATTTGCTCGCAAGTGTGACTTCATTCAGATCGCGCTTATTTTTTGGGTCATGTTCTGTTCCTTTCATTCTTTTCTGATGCGTGTAGTGGTGTCGGTTGTTGTCGTGTGTTTGCTGTGCTTCTGTGTTGCTTGTGGTGTGTGCTGTGTTGTCGTGTCTGTGTGTGTGTGTGTTGTTCGTTCGTGCTGCGTGTGTGGCGGCGTGTGTTGTTGGCCTAGTGTGTGTATGTAAATTCTCATAATATTTAATTATTCTTGTTATCATCATCGCTACTGTATGTGAGATCAAAGAGTCTCCTGTTTGCACTCTCCCCGATTGGAATGTCGAGATGGTTGAGAGGCGTCGGAGACAGACGACGGAAAGAGAGTCAACCGGAGACGATGGAGAGGGGAGCAAGGCAGGATGGGGAATGGGGCTCTCGACACGCGTTTCTCTCGTCTT